CCAGATTGTTGGGGGCAATATGCTGACTCTCTGTAAACCGCTTAGAGAGGGCTGAAAGCCCTATGAAGCGGTATATAAGTCTACTGCTATTATATCCATTTGATTAAAAAAATTATAAAAAAGGATTACTATTATGTGCTCACTTATCTGGAAATAAACTTATACTTAGTTACTTTTAGGGTTCACATTGTAGGACTGCATCAAGAAAGACTGCTAGAAGAATGCGACTACAAAGTACTTCAAGATATTGTGAATTTTGTTTAGGGAACATTGAGATTAAAAGTTTAATGCGTCATTATAATATGTACATTTTGTCATAGGAAACACAAAGGAAAAGTACAGACTGAGTCAGAATGCAATATTAGATGGAGGCTCTGAACAACTTATAATAACAATAGTTAATTAAATTGGTATGCCTCCTGACTGTCAATGACTCTTGGCTGTTCATAACAACAACAACAATTACAATAAAATCAAGTAAAAATAAAATATGGCCAATGTGATAAAACAAGGGATCTCATTTTCTCTTGCCAAAGGACTCAATGAAGAAGCAGGTCTTCTAAACAACAGGAGTGGGGACCACTCCTGGATCTTGGGGGGAGGGGGGAATCTTGGGTAGGCGCAGCTGCAGAGAAGATGCATTCCAAAGTCCCAGTAGTTGGTACTGTTTAAGTGAAGGAATCTGAAATGTACCAACCCTGATTGAATCGACCAGGCACATGCTATGGAGTCCTCAAATAACCAAACCCAGTGTCATGCAGGACATATAAGCAAGACCTCAGAAACAGAACTGAGGGGACAATTTGTCGATGTATTTTATGGACTAAACTCTTCCCCCCCCACACCCCAGATACTCATTAGAAAGAAAATCCCTTTGCAATGGTAAAGCCCAGGTAGGGCTTGATTGGATGGAAGAATAGAATGAAAATTACTAAAAGTGGCCATACTCCCTTTTGTAGCCTGTCATATCCTAAAATGTAGGGATTTTAGTTTTTAGCTTTTAAACTTACGATTTTTGACTACTGCAAATGCTCTGAAAAGTATCAGACTAATTTTGGATGAAAGCTATCTACAATCCAGCTTTGATTCCCATTGTGTCATTTTTGAAATAGCTTTGTGATATGTCCTTAGTTAGTGATTCAGTCGAATTTAGACTGATCATTATTTTGGAATCTCAGTATGACATTATGTACTTTGAAAAAATGAACTTCTGAACTAAGATGTTAGCTTTTCAGAAGACATTAATTGTTCACTGCATGATCATGATTGCACTTGGATTCATTCACCTACCTAATGTAAATAGGTTGTTGAATGTAAAGCTTAAAACCCAAATAGATGAAGGGTAGATGGAACTTGTTTCCCAGACATGTCAGTAATTCATTAAGTTCTTTTATCCTCCTTCTTTAAGTATATTATTGTTACTTTGAATTATTATTTCACTACAGGTTGGCACCCTTTGACTTTTAAAACAAGATTAGGGCTGTGCAGCACTTTTGATTTGAAAGGGAAAAGATGCTGAAACATGCAGGCATGTTGACATAGCATCTATTAGCAATTCTTTAAAGCAGCTGCATCTTTTTCCAGTAGTGGCTGTGTACAATTGCTGTACAATCCTGGTAAAGTCATATTTAATTTAAAGAATAGCCAATGGGTGTCCATACCTATTCCAAAACTTCTTTCTCCCTCTGAATCCAAAGTGCTACATCCACAGACACCCAAAATCAGACACCAAAGTCAGGACCACATGTGAAGTTCCAATTAAACTGATTTATTGCTTATCATGCCTATGCACAAAAATCGAATCAGCTAACATTAGCACTATATTGGCATTATATAAGGCATAATGGAATTCAACAGGGGTTTCTTAGTCCATTTGTGACATTGTAGAGACTCTGGGATGATTCCTCTTTTGACTCCATTCTCAGGTTTTGCCATCCTTCTCCTAAACCCTCTACCTGTCCATCTATTTATTTTTGAGGGCAACAGAGGCATGTCCCAGGGATGTCTTGATGCTACTCTATGGCCTGTTTTTTTTGAAAAAGTGGTGAAAGTAAGTGAATGAACTGGCCCTTTGCCTGTACCTTTTAATGCAGATTTTAGATTGTGGGCTTCATGTTTTTGTATTAGCATCTTATATGTTTTTTTGAAATTAATTACAGATGGCAGTAGAGACTGTCTAGGTATCTGACTTCTAGTGATTGGCTCATA